CCCGCGTCCCCCGTCCCCGTCCCCCTGGTGCCCCCTGCCCCCCCCCCCCAAGCACATACCTCATGGCTCCCGGAGCTGCCCCTGCCCGCGGGCGTCGAGCCCGGCCGGCACACGGCCTGGCACAGGGCTCGGCACGGCCTGGCACGGCCCGGCCCGGCTCGGCGCGCCCCACCGGGGTCCCCCACTATGCAGGGTGGTGGCGGGGGGGGCCGCGGCCGGCGTCGCTGAATGTAGGGGCGCGGGCCGAGGGGGCCGCGGAGCCCCTGTGACAATCACAGTCTGTGACGTGCGATTTTAAACCCTTTTGTGTTTTGGTCAGGATTTTAAAGAAAGATATTTTTATGGTAATTGTTGCTGGTCTATTTTACTATATATTTATGTAATAAATATATGATGAAAAAAAACCAACCAACCAACCAGACCCCCCCACACACACCACACCCCAAACCCGCCCCACCCAGCGCGGCTGGATCCGGCCACTGCGTCCCACCCTCGGCCGCTGGAGCTGGGGGGGTTCAGGGCGAGGGGACCCCCCGGCGCTGCCAGCGGAGCCGTGGGGCTGGCACCCGATTTGGGGGGGCGGGGGGGGTCCCAGCGTCCCGGCGCCCACCTTAGGGTGAATCCCTGTGAGTCCATGGGGTCGGTGCTGCCCCGGGGGTTGGTCTGTGTGTCCCCCCCCGCTGTGGTGTATGTACAGGGGTGCGCGGGGGGGGGGCTGCGGGGGGGTCCGGGGGGCACTACTGGGCGTCGATGCGGAAGGAGAGCAGCTTCTCGGAGTGGAGGTTGTTGAGGGTGCGCAGGTCCGGCAGCTTCAGCAGCAGTTTGGTGAAGCGCGAGGTCTCGGCCGGGCGCGTCTTCAGCACGAGGGCGCGCAGGGCCCTCAGCAGCGTCTCCTGCAGCTGCTCCACCGACGCCGTGTCCTCCATGCCCGAGCGGTCTGCGGGAGCAGGGTGTCAGGGGCAGAGCAGGGACACGCCGGTTCCACCCCCAAAACCCCCTGATCCCACCCCGGCATCACCCCAATCCCGCCCTTATCCCTGAACCCCCTGATCCACATCCAACCCAACCCCTCAATTCCTGCTGAATCCCACTCTGAACCCCCTATCCCAGCCACAATTCCCCCAGACCTCTTGCTCCCACGTCCGCTCCCCACGATTTTATCCCTCAACTCCCTGACTCTCTCTCACCTTCATCACCTTGATCCCACTCCCCCAACCCCCAATCTCCCCCTTGAACCCCTAATTCCTCCCCAAACCTGCAAATCCCCCTCTGAAACCCCTGATCCTTTACAGAAATCCCCCAATCCTACCCCTGAACACTCCCCAAACCCCATGATCCCAACATGAAGCTCTCCAATCCCCTCCTAAACTCCCATGATCCCACCCTGAAACCCCTCAATCCCCCCCCAAAAACCCCCCGAGCCCACCTGCCGAGACGAGGACGACGGCGGTGAAGAGCCCCAGCTCTTCATCGCTGAGCTCGAGGGCGCTGAGCTTCTCGCTGAAGTCGAACATGGCCCCCAGCAGGTCCCCCATGCCCATGGCCCAGAGCTCCTCCAGCCCGTACCGCGTGCGGCTCATGAACGTCACCGTCTGCTCCTTCACGTCGAACAGCGACGCGAAGCGAACCATCAGCACCTGCGGGGTGGGCAGCGTGTGGGCACTGGGATGGGGCACCGTGGCAGGACAGGGGCACCGAGGGCACCGGGCTCCGTGCCACGGCTCCCAAATGTGGGGCACTGCAGTGCCGTGGGGCTCCGTGCCAGCCCACAGGGCATCGTGCCACGCCAGGGGCTCTGTGCTCCGTGCCACAGTTCCCAAACGTGCGGGTTGGGATCCCATGCCGTGCTGTGGGGCACCACGCCATCCCATGGGCACCATGCAATGCTTCATGCCACAGTTCCCATATGCATTACATTGCCGTGGGACACCAGGGAATGCTACAGGGGTTTCATGCCAGTCTCTGACTCCCAAATGTGGGGCACCATGCCGTGGGCATCATGCTCCATATCACAGCTGCCACGTGTCAGGCACTGCAGTGCCATGGGCCACCAGGCAATGCCATGGGCACCGTGGGGTACCAGGCAGTGCCACACTCCAGTCCATGGCTCCCAAATGTGGGGCATCATGCCATGCCATGGGCACCGTG